ATATATGCATTCTTTTGCTTCTCAGACATTTAGCTTATCCATTTTCAGTCTTTATTTCTTGCTAGTTAGCATTCAAAGATGTAAATATCCTTCAAAAATACTGTTTGAGCTGTATTCCACAAATTTTGGTAATGTAATATTCTAGTTATCACTGAATTATAAATACTTGTAAAAGTTCCATTATAGTTTCAACTTTGACCCATGAGTTATTGAAAAGAAGGTTGTTAAATTTCAAATTACTTATATTTTTAGTTATCTGTATTTTCTGATTTTTTTACTTAATTGCATTTTGGTCAGAGAATGTTTTGTATGTGTTACTAATTCTTTGAAATTTGTTGAGGCCAGAATTTTAATGATTTTCTCACGAGTGTTTGAGAAAAATAAGTTTTCCTACTGTTGAATGCTGTGATTTCTATATACAAACCGACTCCACGGCACATAACCACCAACCACCACCATTCAAGGAGCTCTGGCGACCCTGCGGGTTAGATGTTGGTTGTACTGCTAACCCCAGGGTCAGCTGTTCAAAACCAAGCTCCTCAGGAAGAAGATGAGGCTATTTGCTCTTGTTGCGATTTACAGTCTAGGAGACCCTACAGAGGGTTTCTCTGAGTAGGAACTGACTCGATGGGACTGGGTTTTAAAACCTATCTTAAATGCTGTTCAAATCTTTATTATTTTAATTTCTTAAGTTTGATCTTGTTACTAAGAGATGAGTGTTAAAGTCTCCCACTCTGCTAGAGTGTTTGTTGATTTCTTTTTTTTTTTTTTTATTTCTTTTGCAATTCAATCTTGCTTTATATACCTCAAATCTGTCCACTGTTATCATTTTGGAATTAGTATACTTGACACAAGCAGTCCCCAGGTTATGAAAGTCTAACTTACCTACAACTCATACTTAGGAACCAACCAATCACCATAAAGTCTATTCTACTAAACAGTTGAGGTATGTGCAATGTTTTTATATAACACACAGTTGATTATTTGTAATGCACATAAAAAACTATTATTTCTACTATATTATTGGTAAAGATATTTTAGTGTATCTGGGTATGTTTCTTTAATTTCTTTTTATCATAAAGGTATATTATATTAATATTTTTTTGTATTCATAAAGACAAGTCAAAATAAATTGTAATGAGGTTCCAGTTCATATGTGCATAGGTTTACTGCAAACAAACACGTTTAAACGTATCTCTGCATCAGTGGATAACTGCAGACAAGTTTTCTCAGTAATGCATTGGTTAATCTCATTGTTATTGCTATTATGAAGTGCTGTCAAGTCAGTTCTGGCTCATAGTGACCCTGTGTAGGGTTTCCAAGGAGTTGCTAGTGGGCTTTAACTTCTGACTTCATGGTTAGCCATCCAGTGCTTATCCTACAGCACCAAACTCACCAGGACTCCTTAGTCTCATCAATGTTGTTAAGTGCCGTCAAGTTGGTTCTGACTCACAGCAACTCTGTATATGGTTTCCAAGTAGTAGCTAGTGAGCTTGAACTGGCGACCTTGTGGTTCAAATCAACCTTGCAGTCCAGTGCATTAACCCATTGTGCCACACCAGGACTCCCTAATCTCACTGTTGTTTGCTGTTGTGTGCTGTCGAGTTGGTTCCAACTCATAGTGACCCTGTATAGGGTTTCCAAGGAGTGGCTGGTGAGTTTGAACTACCAACCATGCAGTTCAAACCAACCTTGAGGTCAAGTGCTTATCCTATTGCGTCACATCAGGGCGCCACACTAGTCTCATTGGGTGGTGGTGGTGGTGTGTGGTGGAGTTCCGACTCACAGCAACCTGCATAGGTTTTCTGAGGCTGTAAATTTTTATAGGAGCAGAAAGCTTCATCTTTCTCCTGTGGAACAGCTGGTGGCTTTGAACTGATGACCTTGTGGTTAGCAGCCTGACTCGTAACCACTACACTTACCAGAGCTCTGTAGGGTACCTTAAAAAAAAAATGTTCAATGAAAATAGTGACTTCCAAAAGGATTCGCTGGGCCAGTTATAGACAAACAGGTCATCTCAGAAGGTTATGGTAACTGGGTGGTTTTTTTCTCTCAAAGCACACAGGACAATCATGGGAACTAATCAGAAAGAAGTTTTATGAAAGTGGAAAACTGCATCGGTGAGAAAAAGGCCAGAAAAGGTTCATCAAGGTATTTATTTCCATCATGACAATGTGCCTGTTTGTTCTTTGAGGGAAGCAAGGGTTTCTTTGGGGAACCACACCCCATCTACCCTACAGCCTTGCTCTTCAGAATTCTTTTTGCTTCCAAAATTCAAAGAACATTGAAAAAAAACACAATTTGAGACCCTCAAGGATGTTCAAACTGTCATTTTGTTGCTGTCAATTGAAGAATGCAGAATTCTTTGGAGAAAGGTGACAGAAAAACCTCCTTCAGAAGCGTCCAGACCTACATGTCCAGACCTAGAAGGAGGAGCTGTTGAGAAGCCAAAGCTTCACATTTAGGCATTTTGTTAACATCAGACATTTTGATTTTATGGCAGTACTTTTTTACTTACCTTCATTAAAAGTTCTTATACTACCAGCATGGTTGTTTGTTGTTGTTAAGTGCTGTTGAGTCAGTTCTGACCCATAGTGACCCTGTATAGGGTTTCCGAGGAGTGGCTGGTGAGCTTGAACTACTGACCTTGAGGTTCAAAACGCCTTTGCAGTCCAGCGCATTAACCCACAGTGCCACCCCAGATGCCCAGCATATTCTGGGAGAAATCAGCACATAATCTAAGCCTTCCATGACTGGTTGAAGGCTTAGACTTTGTGCTAATTTCAGGAGTTCAAATAACACATGACATGCTTCCTGAGAAGGTTTACCCTCAATGCAATTTAATAAAAGTAAATGACTGGATTCATTTACTCTCCAGCATATCAATCTCACTTTACAGAAGAAAGATCGTGAGAGGAGACCGAAATCAGACTATCAGTGGACACAACTTGAATCAAGGCCTGCACCAGGATTACTGGGATCCCAACAGTAGCTCAAACTGTGCCTGATAAAGCTGGGCAAAGATCACGGTGTGGTAGGTGCATCAAAGTGAGTCCTCGTATTAACACGAGAGCTGGGTGAATGTTCCTGCCACCTAATGAGCTAATGGATGCAACTCAGTTGTTGACATGTTGAATTTGAAGTGCCCAGAGAGCAGTCAAATAGAGTTCTCAAAGGAATGTAAACTCTGAGGAATTTCAGAGACAATCTAATGGGTGATGGGAACAGCAGCTCAGGACATATTCTGAAAGAACAAGCATAAAAGAAAGCAAATAAAAGTTAAAAAATGATGGCAGGATGTTCTACATCTTACTTTAGAGAGTAACAACTGTGATCTTATAAGCTCATGAGTGACCATCTAAGGTCTCTCACACGCAGAAGAAATGAAATAAGAGTGATGAAAATTGAAGATGCTGGAATCAATGAATCCAATGAACTAATGGACCATGTGGACATCAATCTCCAAGTCTCTGAGACTAGAAGACCTAGATGGTGCCTGCTACCAACTGCTCTGAAAAGGATCACATTAGAAAGTCCCAAATAGAGTAAGAGAAAATGTGGAACAAAACTCATAATTATAAAAAAGAACAGATTTACTGGTCAGCAAGAGATTGGAGGTACGCAAGACTACGGCCCTCAGTCACATTCAGGGCTGGAATGGAACTCACCCTAGTGGCCTAATTGTCAGCCAAGCAATAGACAGCTATACGGTGGTGGTGGGGCAGGGAAATGGGTAGCAACACTAGTAAAGTACACTCTACATGGAATGGTCAACCAGTCAAGATTACCTAAGGACAAAGTTCAAAAGAATTGGGAAAGAGGTTGGAATGGAAATATGAACCATAAGGAGGAAGTGGTATAACTGTTGTTACATGGAAGGGATTGAAATCATTGAGATAAAACAAAGTATATAATTTGTTGAATGAAAATCTGATGATTGTTTACCTAAACCTTCACTCAATTCACAATAAAAGCCTAAGGAAAAAAACAAAACAAAAATTGCCATCTCAAACTTGCTCAACTGTGGGGCACTGGGCCAAGCAACATCATTCAGCCTCTTGGCATACCTTGACCCTGCCCACGCTGCTAGGAACAAGAGCCAATAACTTGGATGGAGTTTGCTGA